AAGAGAATCAGGTTTGGGAAGAAGCAGTGAATTCAGTTTTGGATGTACAGAGTTTAAAGTGCCTGTGAAGCATCCAAGTCTCTATGTTGAACAGATAATTGGACATACGTACAGATCTAAAATGCACAAGGGAGGTTTGGTTAGGAACACAAACTTGTGAATCGTAAGTATGTAGGCAGTAGAGGAAGACAAACTAGCAGACACGACCATCCAGGAAGGGTGAAGAGTTAGAAGAGGGCCAAGTACAGACCTTGACAACACTGATATTTAAGGAGTAGAAAGAAAAGAAAACAAAGAATGCAGATAGGAATGAGAGTAGTCCAAAGCAGCTTGTCTCAGGAAGGCAGAGATTCTGAAAATCATGAGCAGAAGCCAATAGTGACAAACTATAAAATGGCTGATAATTACTGAACACTTACTTTGTGGCAGACATTTTCTAAGAGTTTTTTTAATACAGAAACCCATTTAATCTTTTTAAAAAATGATATAAGGCAGTTTTTACTGTAATCCTATTTTATAGATGAAGAAATGTAGGCACAGAAGAGTTAAAGAGTGCACTCAAGATCAACACGACAGTGAGGAGCTGAGCCAAGATCTGGACACAGGCAGTGTGGTTCTAGAGCCTGCACTCTTACCACTCAGAAGAGAGAAAGAAGTCCAGCAAGTTAAGGACTGAAGAACATTTGAGTGCAGTTTCAGCTGGAGCGCAGACTAAAATGCACATGCAGTATGGCTGAGGGGGGCATCAGCAAATTTATACCCCCTGCCTTTTCACGTGACATACAATAATGCAAAAAGCACACTTCTCCACCCTACTTTAGTCAGGCTCAATTAGTCTCTGAGGGGAGGGCCAGAGGTAATTCTTAGAAAAATTAAAGTTGGAGAAGCACCTACCAAATATTCTCAAAATAGTTCTCACTTTGAAAGGCTTTTAAGAATCCACATGATAGATAGGACCTAGACACCTTTTATAAAGAAAGCTCACCCTTTTGAGGCACACCTAAGGTTAAGGATACTAATCTAGTTCCAGATTATTGAAAAAGAACCATTTGCTAAAGGACAAACTGATATTGTACAGGCTTTGGGCTAATACAAAGCAAAAGAGTGAGCTAATTTTGTAGTAGAGCAAATCTCTCCCAAATAACGAACGTACTTTTAACTAAGTTTATAAATTCATTTTATACTAAATTTGATTTTATTTATATCTTCCTCATAACATTGGGTTATCAAAAATGTCTATCCCTTGTCACATCCTGGTTAGTAACTGTAAATTTACAAGTGTGGAGGTGAAAAGTTGAAGAGGTTCATATCCAAGCTCCCCAACTTTCTTGGTAAAGGTGAGATCATCCTATTTTACTGGAGCTGCATTGAATAGGTTAAGAATGGTAGTGAAGGTATGAAAGAACTTTGCATGAAGTAAGGATATTTGAAATTCTGGTGTGTATGTCTGTGTGCATTCAATTGCGTATGTAGTTCTCTCAATCATGACTCATTTACTTTTATTAGTAGTATTATAGTACTTATTATTTGATTATTGTGTCACCTCTATCAAATGGCTAATTAGAAAAAGAAGGAATTGGAGGCTAGAAGTACAGGAGGGGGTAGGGGAAAGCATGTGTAAAACAGATTGTTCTTTCATGTTTTAAAAGCAATGACCCTCTCCCCTTCCACCCTCCAACCCCCCGCCAAAAAACCCCACCAATGCTTATATGTATGCACCGCATAACATTATCCAAACATGGAAAAATATGTGTCCACAATGGTTAACACCAGTGCCTCCACTACTGGCTGGGGAATAGGGATATAAAGTAGGTAAGAATAAAAACACCAGCAAAACAGAAACAGATCTATGGCATAATGTTAAGTGAAACTAATAAAATAAACATGAACAAGGGCAAGTCAACATGAATTATGTCATTCATTCAGCAAAAATTTGTTCAATGAAAACACACTGAAATGATTAGGTGGATGCATTGTGAGCAATTTCTAACTTGGTTTGCTATAACTTTGATATGGTTTTTAGAATAAAGTGAGAGTAAAAGAAAAGCAGATGAAAGAATAGAACTACAGATATTTGCACAGTGATGTTGTAACAATACTTTTTTGTCTGCAAAGGAGGTATATAAAGTGGGCCTTCACATACTGTGGACTGAATTGTGTCTCCCACCCCCAAATTCATTTGTTGAAGCCCTTACCCCCAGATGTGACTGTATTTGGAGACAGGACCTTTAAAGAGATAATTAAGATTAAATGAGGTCATATGGGTGGGGCCCTAATCCAGTATGACTGGTGTCCTTATAAGAAGAGGAAGAGACATCAGAGATGTACACATGCACAGAGAAAAGGTCATGTGAGGACAAAGTGAGAAGGCTACTTTCTGCAAGCCAAGGAGAGAGTCCTCAGGAGAAACTAAACCTGCCAACATCTTGATCTTGGACTTCCAGCCTCTAGAACTGTGAGAAAATAAACTTGTTTTTAAAGCCGTCCAGTCTGTGGTATTTATTATGGCAGTCCTAGCAGAAAAATACACATGCTTTGGATGAGGTTATCATTGGCACAACAAATAATATTTAATCTGCTTAACAATGTAAAGTAAATTAAAAAAAAAAGATTATACAACTGTATCCCTACTTACTCTTCCCAAGTATGCTGTGTGATTGTACTTTAGAGGGAGGACAATAGGACTCAGAAGCCGAAGTCAACAATTCTGAATCATAAAACAAAGACACTGAACTTCTGGAGAATTAGATATAGGAGGAGAGAATCCACCTTAGTCTCAATAAATCTAAAACTAAGCAAAATAATTTTTAGTCACTTCTTTGAAATTGCCAGTGAGGGAAATAATGAAAAGTTTCCAAGAAATGAGGGTTCAAAAGTAAATAGAAATTAAACATCAATTTAAGGTGCATAAAATGCTACTGATAGTTTTATTTAGTGCTGTAGTTCTCAACCTTCAGCAGATGTGAGAATTTTCTGAAGGACTTGTTGAAACTTGTTAACTCTTCAAGTTTTAACAAGTGTTAGTAGTTCTGATATGGGGCTCAAGAATTTTCAGTTCTAACATGTCCCCAGATGATGCTGAAAAGCTGCTTGTCTGGAGACCACATTTTGAGAACTACTTATTTAATGTATTTAGTGTATTGTATTTTAACGAATCTGAAAAGTATTACGGGATCTCACAGGGTCACTCATGGCTACAGTCTCCTTATACAAGATGTTTGTAACAAGTTCCTAAAATTCTTAACTTCTCTATCTATTTGAATTCTACCCTAAATTATTTCAAAATGTTATTTTGGGGGAGTGGGGAGGGAGTACTATAGTAATCAAAATGAGAGTCATTAAATCAAAGTGAAATCTGCCATGGACAACAGTTCTATGAGGTTTCAATTTTTAAATTACTAGCCATAAGTTATATTTAATCCAGTAAATAATGTTAAGAAAATTTCACTAACCTAAGTCTTAAAAGTAGATTAAAACTGATATAAAAACAAGTTGTTTCCCTAGGTCTTGAAAAAGGTCACTTTTTTAAATAAGAACTTCAGATTCATAACTAGGAATGAATAAACTGGCTTTTAAGTACAGAGTAAATATGATAATAATACTTACCTGGATGTGCCTTGTAAAAGGAGTAATTTCCATATGGTGTTTAGCAGTTTGTGTCTCAGTGGTCAATTATACACATAAACACAAACAACTTTACCATTATGGTAGAATATCATAAAACACTGAAAGATACTTTATAAATGCTTTGATGATACATATGAAGTTTCTAAACTTGCAATAGGACTTGAAAACCAATGCAGAGCACTAGTTCTGCTCAGTAGAGAATTTGAAATCTAAACCAAAACACATTCTGATGGCTCTAATATGCAAAATCTAACTTTACAACAGAAATAGTACCAATTCTTTGTCATTAATACCTTAGCAGTATATTGATACCTTTATAAGGAGTATTATATAACAGTTTAATATTTTCTTGTTCCTCTTCCACCCAGCATCTTTTATGAGAGGCACTTATGAAGAGCACTAGCTTTGGCGACGCTATAAGAAACATACACATAGTATAATGATATATTTTACTACACTAACAAAGTATCACTTATAAAGAATTTTTATAAATTCAAAAATAGGTTGTTGGTAACAATGATTACCTTTAAAGCATTGAATTTCATTCACAATATTACTTCATCAATCTTAAACAGCAGTTCCATCTACAAAATGTTCTACAGCTTTTTCCTTTTTGAAAAGGAGGTAAATAAATGCAGGTAAGATACTCATAACTTCTAGTTCAACAATATCAACTTCATTTCACAGCACTGATTAGTAGAGAACATTTTCAAATAAAGTAGTATACAATTTACAAAAATAGAATGATTATATAATGCAAACACTGTCCTCCATTATGAAGAATATGTGTGTGTATACATGTGTGTATGTATGTATATATACATATACATATTTCTTATAAGTTTCACTATTAAATAGCCCTTATTCAAGTACTTTTTTTCTGGTATCTCTTGAAATAATCACCTTGCTATATTATATGTAAATACATAAAAAAATAAAAGGTTAATCTAAGAAAAGGTTAAAAGTTTCAGTGTGGTTGACTTAAATATCAGCCGCTCACTTCAGTGAAAACCTGATTTGAACTCAAAACAGGTTTAGGTGCCATACTAAGTTTAACAACTTAGTCAAAAATACAGATATATTTAAGTGTCAAGTACTCAGTAAATTTCTAATGTGCTAACATTAGAGCAAAATTAAAAGTGTGTATTAATCTATTTATCACCCAATCTTAAACAATCCCCAGACAAAATTCATTTATATAACTAAAAAAATACACTAATATATAATATACCTGCTTACAAACACATAGGTAGCAAATTAAAAGTGTGTATTAATCTATTTATCACCCAATCTTAAACAATCCCCAGACAAAATTCATTTATATAACTAAAAAAATACACTAATATATAATATACCTGCTTACAAACACATAGTTAGCCATAAATAAAACTTTATTCTTTAATTTCATTTACAAGCTACCAAATATTATGTATTGTACACAGTGCTGAACACTTAAATAGCTGTAGTCATGGAGGATCCAGACTGAATGGAAAGCTGTAGATAAAGAAAAGATAAAAGCAAAGTAATACTGTAAAGACAAGTGGCAAAAGCATGGTTTTGCCATAATAAAATCAACTGGATTTGTAATTATACATCAGTTCTGGTTAAAACAAAGTCTGAGCACCATGCGATTCTCAGCTTTGTTTGCAGTCTGGCTAAAGTCTGTAGAGTCCTTTTGTCTTCTGCGGTGATTAAAATAAAAAGTTAAAAACTATAGCAGCAACAAGCAAACCCTGTAACAGGAAGGCAAGGGTTAAAAACTAAAATAAAGTTTATACAGTGTGTTTAGGGAAAGTATGTGCAGTTTATCTTCCATCAGCAGGAGTCCGACTGAGGGACAACATGATTCGGGCAAATCGCTCACAGAGTTCATGCGTGGAGTACGGAGGTAACTTCGGTGGCTCATGGAAACCTTTAATCTCCGTAGAACAATCAAGCAGTTTTGGCAGAAAATCTGTCAGCTTCTCTTGGAGGTTTGCTGCAAATATAAACAATTAGATGTAACTAAAGATAGACAGGGAGAGAAATTATCTTCAACAAGATTTATTAATTTGGAGTGGTCAGTTGATGTTTCATTTCAAAACATGTAAAATCATGACCATTTGGGGGGAAGAAGTAAAACATAAATGGCAACAGTAGTGTGCACAGCTTAGTTTGTAAATAAGAAAAAAAACTGATGCGAATATAAACATGTTACAGAACACAAAAAATGATAATAACTAACATCTAATTCTAACTGCTTTTAATCCCAACACCCCAGGTGTCCACCTGCATTGTTTAAACTTACATTCCATTTCTTGTCCAAGATAGGAACACCATCGATTTCTCATATCTTCCACAGCAAGTATATCTTTCTCTTCCATTTCATCCACCAATAACAAGGGCAAAAATGGGACAATAAACTCATTCATGATAATCAGACCATTGTTTACTTCTCGATCCTCTCCAGATTCAAACAGTTCTGCAGCCTGTTCATTTAATTTCTTGACACAATGAAAAAAAGAACAACAGGTTTGTTTCCTTTTTTAATTAAATAAAAATGTAAGTGTTAATACTGAAGGCAACATAACAAGCATGTTCGCAGACAGTATTAGAACAAATGGAAGTCACAAAATGCAACCTCAACCTATTGAGCAAGAAAAGTCTCTTAGAAAAGGCTATGCATATAACAACAGAAACAAAAGAAAAAAGAAGTGGGAGAAATAATGTTGCCATGTTTTTAAAGCTAAGTTCAGTTTATTTTACTTTGATCATCACTATAGGGACCATTTTAAAATTTGTTCTCCACAGGTGAATTGCCCCCAATTCTAAAATTTGACAAGCACTCAAAGTAATTTTAAAAACGAAGAAATTTTTGAAAGACTCATCATCTTTTCCATAAATGTCAACTCTAAGGGACTGTTATATTTTGTGATCCAAAATATAAAGGTAATCCATTAGTTCACTTATTCCTTCAAAAAATTCTTACTCAGTACATGCCATGTGCCAGAAACTGTTCTAGATGCAGGGGTACCCAAGTGATTAATACAGAAAACTCTCATGGAGCTTACAGTCCCTTACAGTACAGGGATCAGTAAACTCTTTCTGTAAAGGACAAGATAGGAAATACCTTAGGCTTTGAGGGCTATATCGTTTTCGTTGCAATGACTGATCTCTGCCATTGCTGCACAAAAGCAGCCATATGTAAATGAATGGGCATGCCTATGTTTCAATAAAACTTTATTTATAAAAACAAGTGGTAGGCTGGAGCACAGGCCAAGTGTGCTGACATCTAATTGAGTAGAAGAGAGAAATCCATGCGATAAGAAACAGAGACATAGGAGACAGATAAAAAGGTACAGGTAAAATAAGACATTTATGTTTGAAGTCTTATGTTTACAGAATGATAAATATGATTTTTAAATAGTTTTAAGCTGAATTTCAAATACAAAAATTCCATTATTTCTTATGGTTATGTTATGTCATTCTTGTGCAATTTATCTTGATTTTGTAGAGAGGCTTATGCTCAAAGTCCAATTCAGCCACTAAGCAAATTATTTAACCTTCGGCAAACAAGTACTTTCATTTGATGTTAAGTTCACTAAATCAAAACATATCCTAGAAACAACTCAAACATAGTATGTTCAAAGCCAACCTTATTCATTCTCTTAAGAGTCCTGAAAGCCAAAGACAGAACTAGTAAGTCAGGCAGGCTTAATGCTTCTATTTCCTTCTTCCCACTCATCTAATAGTTACCAAGTCCTTGATTTCATTTCCTTTACCATCCTATATACCCTCTCTTTCATATTCATTGTACTTCTGCCTTAGCTGAGGCTCTCGCCCTCTCTTCCCTGTCTATCTCCTCTAGCGTTCTTCATTTCAATCTTTACTCCTTTCCAGTTCATCTTCTAATATACTACTGCCAGAATGATTTTCCAAAACCTGATCATGCCAAACTTACACCAAATTTACAATGGTACCAATGCATTAGAATGGTGCATAAGCTTCTTCAGTCTGACAACAAATCCTGCTGGCTTCATCACTTCCACTTAATCCTGTTCCTCATAACTTAGCCACAATGGATTTATCTTCATTTTCTGTTGTATACTTTCCATGCCTTTTCATATGATATTCCTTTGTCTGGAACGTTTTTCTCTCTTCTCTACAAGGCATTAAACTCTTATTTATCCATCAAGATCCAGATCAGTGTTTATCTTATCTCTTAAGCTTCTCCCCAACAATTCCAGGCATATTATTTTGCATATTTCTCATAATAATACTTATTCTGAAATATAAAAATTATCTGTGTATATCACTCACCAGATTGAATTCTCTTAGGATAAATAACAGGTCTTACTTATCTTTGCATCCCTCAGAATCTGACACTCAGTAAATACTCAATGTAAAAAAAAAGAAAAACCTTAAAGGAACACTAAAATAATCCTCCTGAGGTTTTATTTAAATCCCTATGTGAAACAACAAAGTGTGGCTGGTTTACTAACCTAAAAGGATAAAAGAAACACATTCTACCATTTTATAAATGTCTTAGAATAACCATCAAGTTTTGGTTGCATTTATGTTTAAAACAGTTTTACCAAAATATTTCAATATCCCAACACTGTAATGTTTTTACATTAAAAACTGCTTTAACTCATTCAATGCAAAATTTTATATAATTATCTAAAACTCTGTACTTTTTTAAACTGAAATATATATAATTCAGGTCTTCCTTCTCAGGGGTTGATTAAAAACCTTTTGAAACTGACCAAATTAAGAATACCATCCTTAATGGATACAAACCATCAACAATTCAAGTCTTAAAATACACTCAAATGCAGCAAAATCAGCTAAGAGAAAAATAACAAGATCACAAGCTTCTAATATTCCCATTCAAAAATTCCGAAAACATACCGCAGACTACAATTAACATATACTATGTAGTTCTACTGAAAGAAACATTTCACCAGTACACCTACTTAAAGTTTTTTAAAGTACACATAAACCAAGTAACCTATATAGATTCAAAAATCATACTCTTGAATACCTTTATATATTTTATAGAAAAAAACTGCAACTTAGAAGTTCACAATCTATAGTCATGTTAATAGCTAAATAAAATCTAATCAGAAAAAAGTATAAAGATGGAATTTGTAATTTTATACATAACAGTTAACTGACTCAAGAAACATTAACAAAGTACTCCAGATATCTAGAGAGTAAACTGGTGGGGGAAAAAAAAACTTGCTAAAAAGATTTCTTAAAGTTTATAACAACAATAATATTTCAGCACATAGATAGTAAAAATATTTGAGGAAAAAAATTCCATTGACTAGGTGAAAAAAAAGGATATTATACTACAATGAATCCTTTAACATCATGTACACCAAATATACTATTTATAAAAACTCAGAAAAATTTATTCTTTTTCTGGAATAATAATGATGATAATTCATCACATCATTTAGCCCCTCTTCTGTCATCAAAAGAGGGAATGGCAGAATGAGAAGAAATCTAAATATAAAAATGTAAGTATTCTGATCTCATTTTAAGAACATTTCTGGTTCATCATCTGTAAAACTTAAGATCCTTAAAGAAGGGATAAAGAATTGAGTGTATTTTCCCACCTCAAGGGAATAGACCCAAATTATAGACATCATCATGACACCCCATCAGAATTAATAGTCAATCACTTATATATGAGTCTGGATAATTGCCCCAATGTAAGACAAAATGATAAAGTAAACACATACTATGTACATTCAACTTACTAGTAAACATTCTCTTCTATAATGTGATATCAATTCTTCATCATGTCCTCTGTATGGGCCTTTGGACAAGAGTTCTTTGTTATTCTGATAAGCACAGATAAGGAACAGCAAGGAATCTATATAACTTAAAAAAAAAAGTATAGCATTACTATTTTATCTTTGTAAAAAAAGGTCAATTACAATTTTAAAGCATTTAAAATATACATTTAAATTTTGATTATCCAGAACAACATTAAAATAAAAAGTATCATCTGAAGATACACTGTATGCCTGAAGGCATCTTTTGAGTAACAGCCGCATCTGAAACCAAGCAGATAGTTGTCTTAAAAGTAAAACAAACAAAAAACAGAGCTAGGAATTAAGAAAAAACTGAGAAAAAGGCCATAATTGATGAATTCAGAGTTCCTTCTGTCTTCCTTGGTATTTATTTCCATTTAGACTCAAAATTAACACTGATGTGAAAGTCAATGATCTGCTTTTTTTTTTTTTTTTTTTTGCGTTACGCGGGCCTCCCACTGCCGCGGCCTCCCCCGATGCGGAGCACAGGCTCCAGATGCGCAGGCTCAGCTGCCATGGCTCACGGGGCCAGCCGCTCCGTGGCATGTGGGATCTTCCCGGACCGGGGCACGAACCCGCGTGCCCTGCATCGGAAGGCGGACTCTCAGCCACTGTGCCACCAGGGAAGCCCAACGATCTACTTTTTAAACAACATAATGTCATTTTTGTTTGAGGGAAGGATCAGATTACTTTTTTCCTTTATAACGAACAGCACTCGATTCATTCAGTGACTCTTTTTTAGTCAGGTTTTTTTTTCTATGTGAGGGCACAGTTCTACTCATTGAGAAAAATGTAAGAGGGGAGAATATCCAAAGGAGATGGGTGAAGTAGAAGGGAAAAAATGCTTCTAAATCTGGGAAATCTAGTGGGATACAAACAGACAAAAGAAAACACTAACATAAAAGGCAGGCAGGGTTAGGCCTTTGTTTTATAGTTAATATTAATATGTTATTGATATAAGTCTAGACCTTAAGAAGTTCAAACTAGGGGCCTCCCTGGTGGCGCAGTGGTTGAGAGTCCGCCTGGCGATGCAGGGGACACGGGGTCGTGCCCCGGTCTGGGAAGATCCCACATGCCGCGGAGCGGCTGGGCCCGTGAGCCATGGCCGCTGAGCCTGCGCGTCCGGAGCCTGTGCTCCGCAACGGGAGAGGCCACAGCAGTGAGAGGCCCACGTACCGCAAAAAAAAAAAAAAAAAAGTAGTTCAAACTAGGTTTTAAAAAGAGGATATGGGAAAAATGTTTGAGTACTATATTTGTCTCTAAAATGATTATTCTTCTCCTAACATGCTGTAGGAAAAAATATATACAGCTATATATTTGTATAACTGAAATATGAAAGATATTTTAAGATATTTCCTATGTGTCAGACTTTCCAATCATAACGTATCTTTTCACAAATTCAGAAAAATGCAACATCCTAAAAAGTGAAATACTGTACAGAAACAATGTTTACTGCCAATCAGTGTTACTGTTTATTAATTTCAGGTGCTCAGAAACAAGTCTATAGTCCAAATGTTAAATGTAGAATTATGTGGAAATTAATGTACACATTCATAACAAATCAAATTACACACCTGAAACTACTTCATAAAAAATAAGTTCTTTTAAGTTATGTTTTGAAAACAGCTTTTCCCAGGAATCTGTTTTTGAGAAAACTTAGGGTATGAAATCTTATTTTGAAATAATATGGGTATATAGTCTCAGCTAAAGCTTTTTTTTGTTTAAAGAGTGATAATAATATTAAATGTTGTTTTACGTCACTAAGTTGAATTAGTTTGCTGGCACATCTACCTTCCCTTTTATAGCTATTAAGTTTCCTGTTGAAAGGTCTCCCCTGAATGACATCCATATCTGGCTTTCTAGACCTGAGTCATCGCTCTGAGAATAGCTCTGAAACTATGAACATGTTCCAATTTTCTAGTGAAGTACACAAAACGTTCTACATTTTATCAACGTTTAAAGTGCTTACATTTCAAGTAATCAGAATAAAATTCAGCAGTCCAGTTACCGAATTCTTATTTAAGATAAAATAAGACTATGTAGCCTGACAGATTCTCTTTATCTTCCATGTTTACTGCTGTAAAATTATGGTTCCTAAAAACATGATTTCATTTCACTACTCAGAGAAGTAATAATGACCCACCAATAAATAATTCAATATATGGCTTTGAAGTGCTAAGTTTTCATTAAAAACAAGTTTGACAGAACCTTTTGGCAGTGTTTTATACACTGCTAGTAATGGTAACCGCTATATTTAAAGTGGTAAAATTAACATTTCTTTTTACAATATTCCATAAATATTATTTGTCACCATTACTAATTTTCTAGCTGACCTTTCACATTTGCTATGCTAAGAATATTCACTTTACCAACAAGAACAGATTTAAGAATAAGCAAATTATGAAATTTAAACATAATTCCAAGTTATACTTAAAGTCCTTTAACAAATGTTAACTCAGAAAAGCTAATGTAGAAGCTATGCAGAGAGCAAGAAAATGACAGGCTCATCTTGTTAATTCTATTGAGATAATGAATACATTTTGTCCTTTTCTGATTTCATTAAATTATACAAGAACACAGAGGTCTCTATTTCAATTTTTCTCTCCCTAGTTAGTCGTGTGACCTTGACAAAGTTATTGCAGCACTGTGGAGCCCAGTTTCTTTACCTATAAAATGGAAATACCTTTTAGATACTCTATTCAATTGCAAGACCATATTAATATTTTTCTCAGAAAACTTAATTTCCAAAATCCTAAAGCTAATTAGAATATCCCTATTAAATAAAACTTTGACCAAAATATTAATAAAATAGAGCTACTGATCAAAATAGTTTTCTATTTCAGTGACCAAAGTGAATTATCTTAAAAGTACACAATCACTAGGACTTTAATAATTTGTATCCAAGTATTAACATTACTTTTTACTTTTGTGTGATAACTTTTAAGATTTTGATAAGTGTAAGAATGATGGCATTGTGTACTGTCCAACGAACAGAGCAGCACTGTCCAACAGAACTTCCTGCAATAATGGAAGTGGTGTATCTGCTGGCCAGAACAGTAGCCACTAGTCACGCATAACTACTGAACATTCAAAATGTGGCTAGTGTGACTGAGAAACCGAATTCTTAGCTTTAAAAATTTGAATTAATTTAAATTTAAATTTTTGCATGTGGCTGGTGGGCACCATGTTGGACAGCATAGCTCTAGAAGTAATGTTCCATGTTGGCATTTAAAAAAACAACAACATTATTACCTCAAGTGGAGGTTTCTTATACTTTACACAATAAAAAAGAAAAGGAAAAAAAAGACAGAAATCAATATCCCTTTTACTTGGAGGCAGTATTACAGTGTATTTTAAATATAGCACATAAAAAAATCCTTAGTCAAGTGAATTAATGTTAAAGGATATGAATTGAGAAATACATGGATAAGTAAATACACATTAATGAATAATCTATAATGGTCAATAAATCAATATGTATCCTTTTCTTCTCAGTAACAATGATTGCAATTTAAAAAGCAGAAATTCCTTTAAAACCATCTGTAATTTGTATGAGAAGTAATCTAAAATATTTACAGTCGCAGTATTTACAAGACAAGTGATTAGTTTTCTACAGCTATATTTTTTATAGTACCTTGAAGTTCAGAGAAAGAGACAGATTAGAAACGCTATCTCTAATTTGGAGTCAAGATTAAACTCAGAAAAAACAGGAAAAAGGCTAGTGACTGGAAGGTATATGTGGAAGAATACAAAGAATTCCATTTGCTGGCTACCAGCTTCTTCGGTCCCCAGCAAACTTCTAGGCTTCAGTCTAATCCTATTCCATTCTAAGTTTCAACTGTAGTGTTTGAGAGCTGATAAAAACAATGACAATAATGCCAGCTTTACAGATTTAGCTTAAAATGGAAAATATATTGTATGTGGGGTATATGGGAACTCTTTGTATTAATTTTGCAATTTCTCTGTAAATCTAAGACTGTTCTAAAGTAAAACATTTATTGAAAATATACACTGTGAAAAAAACCTTTTCTATAGATGAGGTCACATCTGAATAGAATACAAAAATTAAGCTCTCCTTTTCATGTGTGTCCATCTTGCCTTACCTTTCTCTTTGAAAATTTTCTAGCCCAATTATGAGATACATGGTTGTTTCCCTGAATTTTCTATAATCCTGATGCCATTCCTGTAGGTGAAAGAAAATAGTAAAAGTATATAGATATTAAAACTACAATGAAAACTGCTTATAAATATATTGTTTTGATAACTGTTTGAATTAGCAGAAGCAAAGAGTTCATAATTAAAGATAAACTAGACCTAAATCAAGACTTTACTGTCTTACATACAAAACTATTTATCGGTATAATAATAAATGTAAAAATTATTAGACATTGATGAGAAATTAAACAACAATGACTCACTAGAAGAAAACAGAAATACAAAGGCAAGATAATCAGTCAGGTAGGTCATCTCTCTCTCTCAAAAATTCTTCAGTGTAAAATTTTATTATTAAGATATTATTATAGAATATTTGGGGTACATGTATCTTTTCAAATTAGTGTTTTCATTTTTTCCAGACATATACAGAGGAGTGAATTGCTGGATTATATTGATGGTTCTATTTTCATTTTTTTGAGGAACCTCCATACTGTTACCCATGGGGAGAGGGAAAGGAGGAGTGTGACAGGGGTACAGGATTACAAAATACAAACTACTATGTATAAAATAGATAAGCAGCAAGGATATATTGTATAGCACAGGGAATTATAGCTATTATCTTGTAATAAGTTTTAATGGAGTATAATCTGTAAACATACTGAACCTATGCTGTACACCTGAAACTAATATAATGTAAAGCAAATACACTTAAATTTAAAAAGTATTATTATAGATCTACATCACATTGAAGGTAGAAGGTAAAGGAAGCTAACTCCTCTAACAGGAAGCAAAGCTTGAAGACTGTTATTTGAAGCACAGTTTTAAAGAACTGAAAGAAAAAAAAAAATGTTACATCATAATAAATTTATTTAACCTTTTAATTTTCTCAAATTTGTGTTAAATTTTAGATGTGGTTGCTGAATACTCTTTTCAGCTGAGCTATGGTGAAAAAGATAGATGCATTTCACATTTCAACAGCCTCTCCCTCCAAAACAACTCATAATTATCGGGCATGTAATGTGACTAAATGATTCAGAACTCACAACTTATAACTCTAGAAAATGACTTTAAAAAAAAAAAAAATCAAGATTTTTTTCTTAACTTACTTAATAAAAATTGATTCAAGGAAAATCATAACTAAAATTCAATATAGGACTAACCTTAAGGAGACAGTGATGACAGAAGTGTGAAAGCTTTTATATACATATTATTATAAGTAAATGAAAATAAGAAACATACAGGCAAGTTATTGACCAGCTACATTCTACTTGAATATGAATCATTTTAATTTTTAATTTTAAAAGACATAATTTCCACACTATTAGTAGACCTTAACAACAAATAAAGGTAAAATTGTCTTGCAAGCATAAAGTTAACTTTTCTGGGGGAAGTATTCAAATTGCCACTCTACTGTCATTAGAATCACCTTAGAAGTTGTTAAGTAGGTAAACTTTTTCTTTAAAGGGTTAGACAATAAATGTTTCAGGCTTTGCAGGCCCTGCAGTCTCTGTTGCAGTTACTCATCTCAGTGGTTGTAGTGTGAAAGTGCTGATATGCAATACCAAAACAAATGGCTTGTGTTCCAATAAAACTTTATTTAAAAAAGCAGGTGGTGAGCTGGATTTGGTCTGTGGGCAAGGTCTGCTGATGTGTGACTTAGAGCAAGACAAAGATATGTGGGATATACAGAATCCAAAAACATGTCATGTAAATACCTACAAGACTTAGTGGCTCTGCAGTTAGAAAAAATATGAGAAGTTTTCATAATAAAAATGTGCTGAAGCCAATCTGATGAAGCATGCTTGTAGAGAGACTGTAGAATCAAATCACAATTAAAAAATCAAGTCCCGGGGCTTCCCTGGTGGTGGTTGAGAGTCGAGTCCGCCTGCCAATGCAGGGGACGCGGGTTCGTGCCCCGGTCCGGGAGGATCCTGCATGCCGCAGAGCGGCTGGGACCGTGGGCCGTGGCCGCTGGGCCTGCGCGTCCGGAGCCTGTGCTCCGCGGCGGGAGGGGCCGCAGCGGTGAAAAAAAAAAAAAAAAAAAAAAAAAAAAATCAAGTCCCATGTTACTTGAATCTCGGAGACAAGGGTAGTTAGCAACCAATTTGCCTGCCATCTCTGGCATGTATTGTGTGTCCATTTATTTGGCTGTGTTCCTAGATTTTCTACTCTGCTTTATTGCTCGAATTTACCTATTCTTATGCTAATATTATTATAAAGCATAAAGGTTAAGATAATTTGTATTGATTTCAAGTAAAAAGCCTTCCTACTTCGTTCTTCTTCAAGAATGTCAGGACTAGAGTGAGATCTTTGCATTTCCATAAAATTTTTGAATCAGCTTATTAAAGCTCCATAAAACAACTCGCTAGAAGTCTGACAGAAACTGCACAGTATCAATAAACCATTTTGGGGAAAACTGACATCTTTACAATACCAAGTTTCCCAAACACAATACGATACATATATCCATTTGTTTAGGTCTTCTTTATAATGTCTCCTAAAGTCATGCACAATTTTTGCTAAATTTGCTTCTAGGTACTCCACAGTTTGGGTACTACTAAAAATGCTGTTATTCTTTAGAATTTCTATCTGATTATTTGTTACTGGTATAAAGGAATAAAACTGATATTTGACATAAGACTTGTATGTTACAGAGCTCTCTTATTATCTTTATTTATCTCCAATAAATTTATCTGTAGAGTTTGTATTTTCTAGGTATAAAATATGCAAATAATGAAAACTTTGTTTCTTCTTTTGCAATCTCTTACTTTTTGCTTTATTTTTTGTTGCCTTACTGTCCTTGAATTTCCAGTACAATGCTGAATAGAAGTGGTAATGGCATAGATGCCTGTCTTTTTCTTGATCACAAAAGGAAAGCTTTCAATGTTCAGATTTCTTTATGATATTTGTTTTTGTTTTTCAAGACACTCTTTAGTAGATTAAAGTAGCTACCTTGTTTCTCCAGAGAAGATATACAGATTGCCAAGAAACACATGAAAGGATGCTCAACATCACTAATCATTAGAGAAATGCAAATCAGAACTACAATGAGGTATATCACCTCACACCAGTCAGAATGGCCATCATCAAAAAATCTACAAACAATAAATGCTGGAGAGGGTGTGGAGAAAAGGGAAACCTCTAGCATTGCTGGTGGGAATGTAAATTGATACAGTCACTATGGAGAATAGTATGGAGGTTCCTTAGAAAACTAAAAATAGAACTATCATATGACCCAGCAATCCCACTACTGGGCATATACCCTGAGAAAACCGTAATTCAAAGAGTCATGTACCACAATGGTCATTGCAGCTCTATTTACAATAGCCAGGACATGGAAGCACTTAAGTGTCCATCAACAGATGAATGGATAAAGAAGATGTGGCACATATATACAATGGAATATTACTCAGCCATAAAAAGAAACGAAACTGAGTTATTTGTAGTGAGGTGGATGGACCTAGAATCTGTCATACAGAGTGAAATAAGTCAGAAAGAGAAAAACAAATACTGTATACTAACACATATACATGGAATCTAAAAAAAAAAAAAAGGTTCTGAAGAACCTAGGGGCAGGACAGGAATAAAGACGCAGACGTAGAGAATGGACCTGAGGACATGGGGAGGGGGAAGAGTAAGCTGGGATGAAGTGAGAGAGTGGCATGGACATATATACACTACCAAATGTAAAATAGATAGCTAGTGGGAAGCAGCTGCATAGCACAGGGAGATCAGCTCAGTGCTTTGTGTCCACCTAGTGGGGTGGGATAGGGAGGGTGGGAGGGAGACACAAGAGGGAGAAGATATGGGGATATATGTATACATATAGCTGATTCACTTTGTGAATAGCAGAAACTAACACAACATTGTAAAGCAATTATACTCCAATAAAAATATTTTAAAAAGTACAACACAAAGAATAAGTGGAGAAAAATAAATGACAATTATATTATTAAAAAAATGACTGTTTTCTGTATCCTTCCTTTTATCTGTTAATGTAGTGAATTACACTAATTGTTTAAGGGAATATAAAGTAATTAAGTTTGTAAATGAGAGCAGTCATTAATCAAAGGCACTCATGAAAGCAAGTTAAAATTTACCAAATTTATAAGTTTTTGAAAAGACAATGTATAAAGTTAAATTTAAAAGCTTGAAAAAATACTAGGTGTTTGAATTGGTAACTTAAAAAAATATTAGCTTTAAAGCCAAACTTAACACAAAGAGAATTTTTTTGCACAAAAATTACCACAGGCATGATACGAGTACTCATGTGTGTGCTCGAGATCTCTCACACAACACTGTCCAATAATGACAAATATATATGGCATACAATGATTAAAATGAATTTCTAACTTCCCCCCAAAATATCTGATGAAGCAAAGAAAAAATATAGCATGGCTTCACTGTAGTACAGTATTTAAGAACATAGGTTCTGTTAACAGAGTTGTGACGTGAAGCTATGAGAACTTTAGGCAAGTTACTTCACCACTCTACGTCAAATTTTCTCACATGCTTAGCTGTACAGAAATGAAAGATTACTGAATTAAACAATTCCTCAATCTACAGTTCAACCTCTCAAAAGGCACATTACCTCATACTCCTCCAAGTTTACTTCTTCAGGTTTTATCATTTCAATTTTGGCTTGAGCAACTTTCATTATGTTGTGACACCTTCAAATAAAAGAAATGTATTTCTAAATCAAAAGCAAACTCCATAAAAACTGAAAAACATGTGTTATACAAAACTAGACTACCCAATACATATGAAGATGAAATCCACTATCACTGAGCAATATTTTTTTGAGGAAACAACTTTCAAATACTTAAGTGAAAAATGTGTTTTTTGGACAATACCAGATAGTTACAAAATATATAAAGAAGACAGAAGCAATAATTCTAATTCAAATTTACCATGTTACATTTATTGATACATATGGCTTTTAAATTATATTCTATTAATAAAGATGGAATATGTAAAAAAAATTTTTTAATTTATAATGTATTATTAAGTAAGCTCCAGAGACATGAAATCTTATTTTCCCCCAAATGGTATTATTCATAAATAGTAAAAAGGAATCCAAAATGTGCCTATCATTTCAGGTAGGAATGGAAACATTTCAATAGATTTTATGATCAGAACCATTGCTAAAGAAATCTCCCCAAAATATATTTAGTTATCACACACATTTTATTCTGGATTTCAAGCACAAGAGAAATTAGATTTCTTAAAACAAACTATTTTTAGTTGCCAGGGCAAATAACTGCAAAAGACTGAAAAATCAACGTGAGTACTCCATAAGTATCTTCCCCAAATTCAATAGCGTATACTCATTGGAACATAGTACACTGACAGTCCAGATAATGAGGGTTATAGCTTCTGAGCTCTTCACAGTTATATGTAACAAAATAAGTGATGCCAACCTTACTACTAATAAAAATATTAATAGCCAATACTCACTGAGCATTTACTGTCTACCAGATAATGCTCAAAACCATTTACCTGTATTATTTCACTTAATCCTAAATTTCACAGCAGACACATGGCGAGGCAGAAATTAAACCTGGATGTTTTGTTTTCCCTCATACTCTTCTTTACTCACATATTTTTAATTCACTATTTTTGAGACATTCATGAAAGGATAATCATTTACTTCAGAATTAAAATGTGTTTGCAATGAACTCCAAGATAGTATAAATGTTTCTGTATTCTAAAATAACTTTTCAGTACTTTGGATCTTTACCTAAGGCCTAAATTTTTTAAAATAGTATTCATTCTAACTAGATTAAATTAAAATTTTTAACATTAGTAAATAGTTTTATAGGAGTTTCTAAGAGAAAACACTTTTTGGTAAACCAAAATTAATTTAACCATTCTAAGCCTTCTCTTTATGTCAGGAGACGTTTAATTACTTTATTTGTACATATAATTACTTTTCTCCAGTGATTCTCAAACAAGGGTGATTTTGCTCCCTCAGGGGACATTTGGCAGTATTTGGAGACAGTATGGGTTGTCACCAGTTGGAGAGTACTACTGGCATTTAGTGGGTAGAGGCCAGGAACATTACTAAATATCCTACGAATTATAGGACAGCCCCCTCAAAAAAAAAAATTATTTGGCCCCAAATATCCATAGTGGAGAGGTTGAGAAATTCAAATATTAAGTCCCAAAAGGGCAGTGATAATTATATTATACTCTTCTGTGTATTGCCTAGCTCAGTATCTTAGTTCACAATTAAAATGTACTAAAGCAATCTAAATTATTTTTACTTCAAACTTTTAAAGGTCATGATTATAAATCCCAAATAAATTACAAAGCAATTGTTCACATTAAGTGAAGTCAAATTTTGTACTGCATTTATTGAAATATGTCTGTGTATGTGTAAAATAAACATTCAAAAATTGCACTGGGAACTATAAAAAAGACAAGGACAATTTGAGCATACGAATAAGATATTTAACATTTTCAAATTACCTTTCATCAAAACTCAAATTTCTATCTCCAAATTGTTCTAGCAATGTTTTCTCAATGATTTTCTTTGGAGCCTGATTCTGGATAAAGTAGACTACTACATGATGTAATCGATAGTCTGTTTCTGGTGGGGTATCTTCTTGGGCCAATTTAACCAACCTTGAATATTCCAACTTAATTGCCTAGAAAATACAAGACAATGTCAATCTTGGTTAATTATAATAATTAAAATCTTTCAATATTATAACAATTATCCTTACAGTGAAATATGCTTTTTTCCTTTTAAAAGATTACAAATAAGGTAGTTGTACATCTAAGAATATTGTCCCATGTTCCATAGTTTAAATACATCTAAGTTTACCATGTGAGTAACTTCATAAAACTTATCAGAGCCTGGTCAAAGTCTGTTCAGAGGCATAAGACAGAGATACTAGGTATATCACCTAACCTACGCTCAGTTTGATGTACCCCTCTAATGTTTCAAATTCTAGGGCTGAACTGCAGTTCCCTAGAATATCCATATCTGAAAGAAAATGGCTGGCTCTTAAATGCATAATATCACCACAATTAACTTCAACTGCAGAGCTGACAAATAAGGGATGAAAAAGCAAGTTTTTTATTTACCATAAATTTTTCATTGTTTCAAAAATATTTGAACTTTATCAGTGTAATGATTATTAATGCATAATATCACTATTACTACCTTGATACGTGAGCTTACTTTTTCTTTATAAACACCTTAGAATTCATATTATAATGGGAAACAATAAATACTAATGCATGTTCCCACACATAAGCAAATGATTTGAAAAATATCTGCTCATAAAGAAATGTGTACAGTTATATATAAAATACTGCTATAAATAAGAAACCCATATAGTTAAACATAACACTTTAAAAATATTCATTTATATTAGACACATCTAAATTCTAACTCTGCTAACCATAAAACATTTGGGGCTACATGCAAAAATATATTTTACAAAAAGTCCATTCTATGGAAAGGGTTTTTCTCTTTTCTTTTAAATGCATGCCTTTCCTAAGCAATTCTTGGCCATCCAGAAACTACCACCTATGGGGCTGTCTTTTATAGAAGTGAGAAAACAAAACTGAAAAACAGTAAATGAAATATTCTAGTTATATATTCTTAGGGGAGCTAATAAGTCCTTTCTATTGATATATAGCTTAGCATTATAAATAGAGTACGATAATTACTCTATAGCTAAAATAAATTATTCCAATTTTATTTTCAATATACATGTCATTCTAAAGTGTTACTGCTGTGGTTAAAAACAGCCATGAAAATTAACTATATTTAGTCATGTAAGACTATCATGGCTCACTTTACTGCATGTTTTGCTTATAAACTCTTTAATCTTCCCAATTTGAGATGAAAATTTTTTCCAATTTGAAACAAAGGCACATGATCATTTAATAACTGAACTATGTGGAATTTGAGAGTAAGTGTAAAAGAAAAACAATAAATAACTGTTCTTCCTTATTATGGCCCTTAGACAATGATTGCCATAAGCTATTAGAAGGTTTTTGGATATTTAAATATTTCAGATGTCATGCTTTTGGCTGAAATTAGTATGACCAGAATAAAATAAATTTGTCTCTTAAATAATATTATAGGTTTAGACATAAGGAATTACAGCACTAAGTGATTATCCATTTCCCCCCCCCCGCCTTCAAAACACAGGCTGTGATTTTTTTTATAAATAGTAAATAGATTTCTATTAGAGCTAGAATATACATCGTCTTTAACTCTAAGATTATGTTTATCTCTTGATTTTTCTATTTACGATTCTCCCAATTTTAATGAGTAAATGCCAAAGTCATAATCTATAGGTGTTTTATTAAACCAGTAGAGGTAGAAAGCTACTTCTAAATATCTAGGAGCAATTTTTCAAACACAAAATACCACATTTTATCAGCATAAATTAATTTATCAACTTTTTTTCTTTGTTTATGAACTTCCTTCTCAAGAAGGTTTCTGACTTCTACAGTACACTGCAACCATACATATTCCTTCAGATTTTCAACAAGGTGTTCCACACTGGTATATTTAGGAGAGCTGTACACAATCTACCATTAACGTTTAACATGGTCCTACTAATCAGGCTCAGTGTTAACCTATTTAGTTTTATTTCCTGTTACTCTTCTACCCAGATGAGGTTCGACTCCCCACAAATGCACACGTCTTTGCTCCTTAAGTTCTCTACATGCATGATGTCCTTGATCATTCCCCATCTAGCCACACATGACTCATTCAATGAGACTAAAGTCTCTCTCTTTTGAAATCTTCTTCCAAACGATTTCTACTTAGACTTTTTTCTAGTTTTCTAAATCATATGATAAAACATATTCTAAATTTATAACTTCTTACAGACTATTTTGATATAAGTATATGTATACATTAGAAAATGTCAAAAATACAAACATACAGTATACTCTGGAGGCAGTAAGATCTAAGGGAAAATCAGCTGGAGTAAAATTCAGAAAGCTAGGTATATCATTTTATTTTTAAAATTGTTTATTTTAAAAACTGATAGTGTACTACGAGATGAAGAAAAACTACTTCAAATTCCAGAGGGTCAGAATCATATGGGTTATATTCTTGGAGCACAATGTAATATAAATAGGGGTTAAAAATAAAGATAATTCCCAAACTAAACACTTAGGAATTTTAAAATACTGTTCTAAATTATTCTTGGACCAAAGGAATCAAAATTATATTAATACTGGGAATATGAGATCTCAAAACCTAAAGGACACAGCCAGATTGGTAAAGGAAAATTCCAGCTTAAGCAATACAGAATAACATTTACTTCAAGAAGCTAGAAAAAGAAAATAAACCAAAATAAAGTAGAAGAAATAAAATAATGTGGCAATTAGATAAAGACCATCAAAGGCTTTTTCTTTCCAAAAAGCTGAATGGAAGACCAAAAAATGGAGAAAACAACACCAGAAATAAGGAAGGTGATAATACCAAAAATACAGGAAAAGGTTTTAAAATTTATAAAAGAATCATACATAACTTTATGCCAATAAACTATAACATCTTTATTAAACAGATGATCATCTAGGAAACTATAAGTTATCAGAATTACTTTAAGAGGCAGAAAAACTGAAGAGAGGCAGAAAAAATATAGATAATTGAAAAGGTTGCCTAAGATCTATGCCCAATAAAGAAATTAGGCCCATTCTGTTTTAGAGCTGTGCTGTCATGTCAGATCTTCAAAGACAAGATGATTCCTATTTCTAAACTGCTCTGAACCTGAAAAAGGGGAAAGCCTCCTTAATGATTATATAAAACTAGTATAATCTGAATATCAAAAATCGACAAATATTTTTAAAAAAAGGAAGTATAGATCAATTTTGTCAGTGAACATAGATGCCAAGACCCACATCTATTTTTGATAAACTACCTTGTGTACATAAAGAATATATAGGAACAGATAGTGTTTACAATGATTAAAAAAAAGATAGACGAATGCTAAGATCCTTACTTTGCAAGGATTAAGGAGAAATCTGTTCAGCATCTCAAATAGATGCATTAAAAAATTATCTAAATTCCAATACCAACCAGTTTAAAAGAAAACTCTTAACTGTAAATTTAAGAAAGTGCTTTTAAATTTATGAGAGGATCCGTAAAAAACCAATACTACACATTCTATTTAATAATAAAACACTACAAACATTCACATTACACTCAGGAACTAAACAAAGGAGTTTACTACCATTATTTTGTTATTTATATTCTGAAAAGGCTGGTCAACATAATAAAACCAGAAATAAGAAATAAGTATAAAGGAAATTATCCCAATAATGAGATAGTTACTGGGAGGCAGTTTACTGAAATAATCAAAAGAATCAACCAAAAAATTATTAGAAAATATAAAGGGTTCACTAAAATAATTGGATACAATATAAATACATAAAAGTAATTGGTTTTTCCACTACCTACCCTACCAATAATTTGGTATTAAAAGTGAGGATAAACAACTCAATTCACAGAAATAATTTTTACATATCTAAGATTAGATTAAAAAAGAAGGTATAAGACCATTATGAAGTAAAATTATAAAACCTTACTTAAGGACATAAGAGAGGACCAAAAAACTGAAGATTCATATCATGTTTCTTTCTGAGAAGACTAAAAATACTGAAAAATATAATTATCCACCTCACTGTAACTTAATATAATGCAAGTACAATCAAATTCTGAAAGGATTTAAGGAGACAAGCTGCAGTTGGTTAAAAATTATCAAAAAAGAAAAAATGAAACTTGCCAAACTTTCCATTTATAAAAGAAAAAAAATTAAGAGGTGTTTCTACTACAAAATATCAAAATATATTACAAATAAATGGCCCATAATGTAAATAAGTGTAATGTTCAAAAACAGAAAAATGATCAATGGAACAGAGAGACCCAAAGAGACCCATTTATAAATGGGATTTAATATACGATACAGTATTTTAAGTCAGTGTGCAAAGAATGCATTAGTCAAAGTGTTATTAGTCATGATACGTTTGAACTTTTTGGATATTTCTCTATTTGGAGAAAACTGAAATCTCATATCTGGGAATCAAACAATAAAAATCATTAAAGTAACAATTAAAGATTTGCATAATTTTAGAAGTGATCATATAGTCTCAAATCCATTAACGAAATATTGCTATATTTTATAAGATTAAAAACATTATGTACAGTTAAGACACCAAAAACAAATTTAAAGATAAATGACAAACCACAAAATACAATTTTCAAATTATAGATGAATCAAATTTCTTAGCAGATCAGATGCTCATTTAACTTAAAAAAAAGAAAAAAACAAAAAAAGTGTGCAAAAAATGGACAGGCAGTTAACATAAGAAATACCAACTGCCAAAAAATTTACAGAAAGATACTTAGCCTAACTAAAGATCAAAGATACATAAAATAATGGGATTACCCTTTTTATATCATTTTGTCAGCTAAGCATCAATGACAGTACATTGGAAATTCTACTACGCTATGTTCACATGCGTTTTCAAATGATATATGTACAAGAATGTTTACAAAAATACTGGAAATGACCTAAACCAGCAACAAAAACGGTAATGATGAATTTAATAAAAGTTACAATTTGTGAGTATTCTTTATGTGACACTGACACTTTATGTGATAGACACTGTC